AGGTTCATTTAGGACAACAGGTCATTGTACTTTCGGGTCACGATAAAAGACACTGTTTTGGAGTCCACTTTCGGCCATATTATTTGTGCTTTAGGGTAGTGGTTCATTGCCGTTGATGTTTCGCTAAGTCCTTGTGGATCGGCAGAAATGGTGGAGGTCCCCGTTCGTGGTGAGGGGAAGGGAAAGGTATAAGTTAATTATGATAATGATTTCATAAATGAATGTAACTAAGGGCTATCGTGAAGTATACTTCTGTCATTGACATTCCCAAGAAAAAGCTATCCGCAGAAATTAAAAAAGTTACTTCTCATTCTTAAAAAAAAAAAAAAAAAACTTGTATTGTTGGGTTTGTTTGATGAGGAAGGATGAGGACCGGTCCCTTTGGGGTCCGCCGCAGTTTGAGAATGACTGCTTTAGAGGAAGGAGAGGTTGAAGAGTGAAAACCATGGACCGAAGAGATTGCATAAAATAGGAGATAGAGCAGTTGAATCTTCCCTATTATATCATTTACCATCCAGCTCTTACGGCCGCAAGTGAGGTTGATAGAATAGGATAGAATAAATATGAGCGTCCCAGCGACTAACTCCATGAGTTTATCGTTACTTGTTACTGTTTGTTTATTGTTAAAGCTGCACACATGTGTGCAACTCTTGTCGTCCGGACAGATAAGTATTGCCAGTGGCAATGGCACCAACGCCAAATTCAACTGAATAAATACAATTTGATAGAAGCGCGATTATTTTTTTTTACCTAGCAGACGTTTACACTCAGATATTATTTATTTGTGTGTTTATTTTAATGATAAGTGCAGAGAAATTTAACTTCGAATTTGGAAGAATTCGAAAACAAATAAACACAAAATCCAACACACTTCAAGTTTTCGCAAAAAAAAAAAAAAAAAAAAAAAAAAAAATCTTTGAAGAAAATTTTTTTGAATTTGACGAAAAATAAGCTCCGGAAACACGGAATCCTACTTAAATAGTCCCGTGTGTGGGATCTTTTTTTTTTTTTTTTTACGATTGGCGACAAAAGGATTTGTTCAACGTCTCCAGCACACTCGATTGACCGGAATACGAAGACAAGGCTATCCTATTCATATGCGGTATCGCCATTTTAATGATGATTTACTTCCACGTTTGCTTGTTTAATTATTAATATTTTTCTCTGCCGAAATTATTCACTTCCCGAAATCAATTCTGACCATATGTGGAGGACTCGTCTTCTTCTAAGATTGACAAAACGTGACAGTTGCAACATCCTTGTCGTCAGCCCCAGCACCTTAGTTGCTACTGTAGTGTTGTTCCGACAAGTCCCAGGGCATGAAACTTAGGTTAATTGCAGTACAATTCTGAGCTATCCGTTTATGACTGGTCATTCAGTTCTATAAGAAATTCAGAGGCTTCTTTAAATAATCCGGGTGTATCAACTTAACATTTCAGCATAGCCCCAGGTTTAGGAGAACATGTGTATAACATCCCATCAGATGGACTGGAAAAAGTGAAGGAGTACTTAAGGTACGTGGACCATCATTATTAAAATTAAAATAATTGAAATATTAACAATTTAGGTTATATACATATTGTTCGAAATGTAGCTCACGCTCTGGCATGATATTTCATCATCATCATAATTTATTAAACCTTGAGGGCCCTTACGGGCATTACACAATGTTGCGGGGGGGGGGGGGGGGGGGGAGGGGGAGGGGAGGTACTCGTTGAAATAACTTTATATAAAGGAACAAACAAAAAGTGGGTTACATGCTGGAGAACATTGTTATATAAAGCAACAAGTGTAAGTGGGGCATGTTCATGGAGCTCAACCTCTACGTGCCACAGTGTGTACTTTCATGAACATACCATGTCATGTACGTTAAATCTCACAGTAGTGATAGACTCGTCAGTTATGCATGGGTTTTTTTTTTTCGCTTTAAACCGATGAAAGGAACAGCACTTTTTCTTAATTTTATATTAACCGAAGCGATTAGTATCTTAAATAAGTATGGTACAATTGACGGGTATTGGAAGGGAAAGTGTAGGTGTCGTCTGAGGACCTCGTACCGCACCTCCTTTTCGAAATTTCAACTTCTCTTCAAAATCGCCCTCTATTTTGCTGAAGCAAGGTTCCAAAATAAACCATAGGCGGCAGTAATGACATCACTGTAATAAAATGACAAGTGTTAAACTACTTTTCGTGGTAATAAGCAATGCAATTAGATACTTTGCTTGGCTAATAATTTAGTAATGCAATAAAGTCTGTTCAGGCAGTAATTTCTTAAAAATTGCTCGTTACTTTTGAAATTACATCATCAGCACCGTTCCATGCCAGAATAATTTTATGGGCACACCACCATTGAGGTCAACGCCCTTTGAAACCAAAGGCTACAGGACAAGCACATCCACAGCCTTCTTTTTTCTTTCGTCAAAGAAGATCAAACTGCCAAGCTTCGATTACTGAGACCTAAACAACAAATGATCAAAGTCAATATAGTTATCTCAAATGTCACGGAATTCACAAACAAATTCAGGTTCCCCGCTAAATTTAGCGGAAAAATTTACGCCACGTGACCTATACATTAATTCAGTTTCCCCGATTAATTTAGTGCAAAAATCGACGTCACTTCAGGTGACGTCAAGTCAAGCAATGTTACATGACCTGACGTCACGGGACATACAGACAGATTCAGGTTTCCTGCTAAATTTAGCAGAAAACTTTTCCTCACTTGACCTATGGACCGATTCGGTTTCCCCGCTATATTTAGCGGAAAAATTGACGTCATGTGGCCTACGTAGCAATTCAGCTTCCCGCCACATTCGGCAGGAAGACGTATCCCGACTTTAAAATCATTTATTCATCAACAACGTATCGACCCTAAATCAACGCAACGTCATTTCAGTATGAGATCACCGTATGACGAACGATCGGCGCAAAGTCAATCAATCGTCATCCTCATATCGTCGAATAAGCAGCCCAGGTGTCGCTGTCTAAACGCAACACGTCGTGTGATCGTCGCACAATTTTTATTTTGAATTTTTGTCAGGAATAAGCAAACTCAAAGATTGCCATTCGTTCGTTGTGAAACTATACATTTTAAGAAGTCTCTGACATCCTTCTCCTCCCGTGACAGAGCTTCTGCCCAGCAAACATCCGGCCGCTGTGTGTTACAATACGCAATAACTTGGGTTTTTCTGGGGTTTTGAAACAATTCTCTCTGAGAGGAATTCTCGGGAATGATTCAACTAGTGCTCTTGTGAAAAATTTATTAGGCTGCGCCCGAGTCAGAAGTGAAACGTTTCGCATGAAAACTCATAGGAAGACGAACTGACATGTCCCTGCTTAGTCTACGGTCACGGACTACAATTTATACAAAATCAGGAAGACAATATCACATCAAATTTTTTAACTGAAGACCTTCACCATTGAATACACAACGGAACCGATGAGCCGACTGTCTTCGAGTCACATCTACAAAAAATTTAAATCATTTTTAACTCTTCCGTCGTATGCATCAGCGGGCGACTCTTCAATATGATTCACTTCGAGGTGCAGGTGTTGGTGCACTGCAGACACAAAGATCAAAGAAAAGTAATATCAAAGCAATTTTATTACTTTTGAATAGTACTTTTAATGTGATGTCATTACATTTATTCAGCGATAATCTGTAATGTAATTTAATTACAATTTTGCTGTCTTTTGAAACTTAATTAGTAACTTCCCATTTTGCAATAAAACAGCATTTTGAGTTTCAATTTTAGTCTTTGCTTTTTTTGAAGACTAGGTTACTATTGTTTACTTGTTTGCAATGCCCGCGATTTTTTAAATCGGGGGAGGGGGCACATTAACAATTTATGTCAGAGCCAAAACTTCTGGCAAAACTATTCAATATTAGTTGCCAGAGTTTTGCCTGTACCTGAATTATGCAGTGCTCCTATTCATGCTACCGGTTATCTTCTGGCCTCTATAGTTCGCTGTTTGAACAGCTTTAGCTTCTGTAAATGTAAAGCCACTTGATTAGGAGTTAGGAGGGAAGCATCCAGTGGCCGTGGTTAATGTGGAGATGGTGTTTGTGAAACTGAGTGTAATAAACCAAAAAATGGGCGCGCATGATCAGTCAAGGAAACTGAAAAATAAGTATTTTTGTTAATACAACCAAATAAACTAGTTACAAACTAGATAGTAAAATTCAAGGTTCCCCTTGATGCTAAAGCGAAGTCGAACAGGTCGACATTTCTGCGGCTTGCGTTTTTCCGGCGAATTTCGTCATTTTAATATTATTGTAAACGTCATTTTTACAACGTGCTTTTTGGAGGCCTACCTGAATAAATTTTAGGCCGAATATCTTATTTCCCAATTGTCTTCGGGTCATATGGCATTCGAAGACTCCGCATTACACCACTGACCTAAACACCATCATTTGCCATTAGCTTAAAGCTTTAGGGCTCACAAAACGGCGAGCACAACGAAGACCATGTTGGTCTTGGGTTCAATGCAAACGCCAAACATGTTAGCTAGAAAATGCGGTGAAGCTTTTTATATAGTTTACGTATAATTCATCAAAAAACGCCTAAAAACGTAAAAATATGCATTAATTGAAATAATAAGCCCGAAAGCACTAAACCCTGGATTTATATATGGGCTCGTTGAGATTGAAACCGTGTTCGAGGAAGACCATCAAGCAACGCGTGAACAAGACGAAATAGCAAACATAGTGAAATGTTTATTGTTCTAGGAAGGGAAAGAAACACAGATTTTCGAAAAGCTCTATATAGCGAAATTCGGGTAGTTTGAAAGCAAGCTCGGCGGCACGCCACGGGTTAGAGGAAAAGATGAAAGCGCACACTACAGTCGCGCGCATTTCTAATAAATCAGTTCGGGAACGGACATCGGACTGGTGGGACGTCCCTACATAGGCAATCTAAAATTAACAAAAAATCCGAACCACAGAAAAGGCAAATTTTCAGTACCGCGAAACAATGCTTTGGATTGGCGGTGGTCGCCAGGGGGTAGAAATCTGCGGAGGGATGGGCGTAACTTCGACAGAGGGTGCATTTTTCACTTCACCTTTGTTGTTCACACGGGCGAGGTGCCGACGGGAGGAATGTCAGCGACATCAGTGCAATTTAGCGGTTTTCACTCTTGACGCCACCGCAGACAGATTTCGTGGGCTTTACCTTTGGCATCGACGTGTTTGAAAACAGAATATATTATACAAACTGATCCGCCACCATACCACGATTGCTTATGCCGCACGAGATGCCCCCCTCCTAGTTCCGCCACAGCGCAACATCGCAAAAGTCTTTCGTTTTTCTTCCGTGCTGCCGCACCGGGGAAAAATCCCCCGGTATTATAATTTGTGCGAGTACCGCATTTAAGACGCGCGAGCGATATCGGGAAATTCTAACTGTGGTGCAAATTCGTGTAACTATGATCGCTTTCAAAATTGACGAATTATATCTATTAGCTATCATCACAAAATAAGAAAACAGTCAGAACACAGAGTGAGCTTGTTTATTTTTACCTGTGGTGTCTGACTTTTGTCAATACGCTCACTACAAATCTAATTATGCTATATAATAATTCTTTTTTTTTGTGCATTTAAATATAGGAAGTGCAAGAATGGACGCGAAGACGGGTCAACACCCATATCTCCAAGTGAACCAGTTCCTCCACGTAAGTTCACCGTTTGTTATTACAAAATGTGTGAAGAGTGAACTATAATATGTAACTACATTTTACAGGCGTTTCCCACCAAAATGTTTATATTTTATACAAAATATAATGCACAATTTAGCCCAATAAAAGCAAATAATCTTTCTTTTACTTAAGTACCTCTTATGCTAAACTTAATATGATTGTGTATAGTTCAGTAAACATTTCTAGGTTTCATATTATATTTTAATCTTCTGGCACACAATTTCTTCCCTGTTCGGCAGCACAACTCGTCAAACTTTTTATTCCGCGCCGTTAGAAACGTGGCGACACAACGGGTTTACAATATAACAAAGAAGATAACTGACGCGCCGAAATGTACCACTTTTATGAAAGCCACTTATTACTTACTACGAAAGCGAATCCCACCCAACCTAGGCTAAAGGACAGAGCTAAACGTATTTTCAGTTCCAAATAAATGTAGTGACACAACCTGCACGTTAACTTTTTTTTTAATCGTAATTTTGATTGTGCCGTAATTTTTTTTTAAGTATATTAAGTTCTAAGTCGTATATCCAATTTTTTAGATTCTCCGCCTCCAGCTTGAGCTCGTTGCCCTCCGTCATATCCTCCTATACACTGAGAAAACCTGGCCGATCGCCACGAGAAGCGGCCGCCGAAATGGAAAATGTGGAGCGGTAGACAACGGATGGGGGGGGGGGGGGGGGAGAGCCACGTAACAGGCGCCCCGCTGCGGCGAGACGCCGAAACATACTTCTCCCGAGTGAACGAGTGTGTTTCGGGTCCTCGCCGCTGCAAAAGCTGTGCGCTGACGTCCAGGTTCCCCGAGAAAGGGCTCTTTGATGCTCTGTGCTACCAGGTCCTCGCGCACAAAGCTTCTACCGGGCACTCTATGGCTCCGTCGTCGAACTGCCAGGCTTTGTGAATATAGAGGAGGCTATGCTTCCGCATATCTTTGGCTGCCCGTGCAACGAAGTGCTATCAAGGAAAGGAAGCTCGTGCTCGAGAGAGAGCGTGTACTGAGTTCTTAAAGGGCCAGTTTGACGTGATAATTCAGCTGTGATCACATTTTGGTGTCTCTAAAGCTATACCAGTCATTGATTTGGCTTCGATATTAAAATTGCGACCACCTGCTCTTTAGCAGGCGGCCAGCAGGTTAGCTGTTAGTCAAGCAACACTTGGCGACGACGTAGCGTCGGTGCTTTGGTTCTTCTCCGTTGCCTTTCATTCGTTGTGTAAAGTGTAATTAAAACTGCTGTTCGCGTTTTTCTATTCTTTTTTTCTTGTTTTAGCGGTTTCCGTGAGCCTCCAGTGTCTCCTATTTTGTGTATTAGTACCGGTGTGCGCCAACTATAAAATCAAGCTGTGGCGTTGTGCACTTCGCCACCGCATGAACGCGCCAAATGCTACCGACATGAATTGCTCCAGAAAGAAGCGCCTTAGCGTCTCCTGAACGGGCAATGAACTCTCTATACGGCGCGACATGCGAGAGCGTCAGCCGTAGGATCTGTTTGAAGCAGTGTCACTGACAAGTGGTTATTGCAGCGGTCCCCCAGATTGATAATACAATGCAATTCTAAAATTTCACGAGTCGTCTTGTCTCGATGATGGCCCAATATTGTTGTTGCAGTTGATGATTGGAGAACACGAGAAGGTATTGCAATGTGCGGGAAGATGACCGACCACCGTACATGATTTTCCACTGAAATCTACGGTGGGCGATCATCTTCCGGTACATTGCAACACCTGCCAGTGTTCTCCAATCCTCAACGGCACAAGAATAATGTGACATTATCGAGACAAGACCACTCGCGAAATTTATAAAGCGCATTGTATTAATAGCTCGGGGGACCACTGCGTTAGCCACACATCAGTGCCCAAGACGTCAGCCTACCCCAGCTCACGCATTGAACACGAGCACTGCGTCACTCGGACGTTTGGGCTCGTCAACAATCAATCCGTCAAGAAATATTTCGATTCGCATTAGAGGCCATTGAGTGCCGTGAGGGCATTTAGCATCCCATGCAAATGGCAAGTTTTATGCGGTGGAAGCTTGGGGTCATCGCATCCTGCGCCCAAGTGCGTCATGACCCCGTGATTTCTCAATTCGCTTTTGAGTTGATGATTAAAGTTAAATAGGGATGAATTAAAAAGAAAAACATTGTATGCTACTTTCTTAGAAAGGAGCATACAATGTTTTGTTAAAAAGTTGCACGTCATCTGCACGCGGAGAAAGTAGCGCGGATTGGCCGGTTGGCAGAGTGGAGCACTCGTGATTACCGTGATCAGTGAGAGGGAAAGAGAGGAAGTTAAACCCGGCTTCTTGCTTGTAGTCATCCCAAAAGGCAAGGAGTTCACCATTTCGCCGGCTGCGCCCTAAATTCTGGTGAAAGTTTCAAATAAAACTTTTCAAACAATATTTTCTCTTTTTTTTTCTTTTCTTTTTTTTCGGGGGGGGGGGGGGGGGCAAATACGCAGTTTTCAAACCTAAAACGTTTACGGCGATGCCTAGAAATCATTTTCAGTCGTTTGCAGTAATAAAAATATTATCGATGTTGAGGTTGTCACTGTCGCTTGAAAGGCATACTCAATCAAAACTTGTAATACACGCTTAAGTGGAAAAAATTTCCGACATGTAAAAACTATTTATTTCGTTTAGTTGCACACGAGAAGATTTGACTTGAGCGAGCGGTCTTGGTGCAGGCACGTCGATTCCAGATCCTCTGTTTATGTTTACACAGACGCCCGCGCCCTCCGGCGGCATACCAACCGGCCAACACTGGTTGCCAACCGCCCTAGGCAAAACCGAAACTGAACTAGTGTGATGTCCACAACGTTAAAACGTTTACGTATAAGTTGAATAGGATATATATTACCTGTAAATTATAATTGCACGCTTGTATTGTGACCAGATTGGTACATTTCTTTGGTCTAAATCGCCAATCGGAGAACGCGATGCGTCTCAGAATATTCGTCGCTACAGGCGGCGCCTTGACGTCATCGCATCTATCGAGTTCAAGCGTATCGTAATTATGAGCTCTGCCACTTGGAGGCGTCCACGCGTTACAGCCTCGCTTGGTCGAGGACCGAGGTCAGCGAGGACAAAACGACCAAATGACCGCACCATTACCACCACCGCGCTCGCAGCCTGCTAGCGTTGTAGGACCTGCTGTTGTGTGTGAAATGCGTTGTGTGTGAAATACTACGTAAACAGGAAGATCATTACTACGATGACGACATCTGTCAGCTACACCGGTGCCGGCTCGCTCGTAGCGAGACCGCAGTCAACCGATGCGGTTATTCGGTCATGCCATGCTGTTGCGTAATCCGCGTACTACTTTAGCGCCTTTGCGCTCCTTTTGTATTAAAATCCTTACTTCAAAAATGATTTCCCCGCAAGCTGTGTACACCACGCAGTCAGCGCCGACAGCACTGTCTGCGCGCTGTGGACAGCGTGGTGTGTCAACTATTTCACGATAGTCGATACACGACGTTGCTGTCTAAGTCCTCTGCCGCACAATAGCACGGTGTCCCGCAGTAGACGCGCAGAATGATCGCGAACATTTGAAATGTCCAACGAAGCAAACAATATTTTCGAGGGGGACGGCCGCCCGGCCATCACTTTCGTGAACACGGGAACGGCTCATTAGGAAGCTTGCTGACGCAGCCCAGCTTGGCCTACTCAACGGTCAACTTATTTGCCAATCTCTCGTGCACTTGTACCATCCTGATTCGTATACACTAGTACAACTTACTACCGCGGCGCAGCGCTGCTCTTACGGGGCCAATGACGATAGCGCCCTACAACAAAGCTTCAGGTTCAACCGCTAGGTGAAATTACTAAATCGTTTAATTCCTTTTAAAACTATTTTTCCTACGTTTTCCAATTAAGTAGTGTTGTTTCTGAGGTCTTTAAATTCGGTAGGTCTTATTTATGCAAAGAAATAAGCGAAAGCTTTCGTTTCCATACACCTTTAGCAACCGATTTGACAGACTATTCCCTAACTAAGAAGACAGTTTCTAGATCTCCAAACTATTTTGCTGTAGTCACTAACAACTGAAGTGACTCAGGGCGTGAATAGTCCCGAACATCTTATTATCGCTCTTCAACCAATCAGATTCGTCATTAGCCCATGAGAATGCCGGACAACCAATCACAAAGCGAGGGTCCGTAAACATAATAAGCCACACCCTGCGTTTTCCTTTTTTTTTTCTAGGTTGTTAGAAATTGTTGCCTATTTTGAATTAATAATTATCATAAGGACAATAAACAAAATTAACACTTCGCCTCTTTCGATCACTTTGTGTTGTTTTTGCGGGATCTTATGCTGTGCTCCGTACGTCGGCCAATATTATCGGCTAATTTTTACGCCGCGGTTTAGCCCGTGCCAGAAAGAGCAGTCCTCCGGAAAGCCTTCTTCCCATATTCTTATAAGGCTTAAATATTTCAGCACAACCACCCGCACCCCCGAATGAGCCTGAACAGCCAGCGCCGCCAGACGGACCTCCCACTGCTTCTCCCGAAGAACCAGAAGCACCACCCCAACCCCCACCTGGACCTCCGCCCCCACCCGGACCTGCGCCTCCACCAGAAGCTCCGGTGACAACTACAACTACCGAGGCCCCACTTCCCGATTACTGCTAAAAATGAGCATCAGAATTGCCCGGTGCATTTCAGTGGCATGGGTTTGGTTTCACGAGGTTCGTGCGCCCCTGCTTGGGCTTTTAATGTTGTAATAAATATGCTTCTACTGCAAGGTGGAGATACCTATTCTTTTTATGATGTCGGGGCTGAAACGTTAGCGGCCTTTTTTTTAAATCATTCAGTAATACGACTGCAGATTCATTATTTTTCTTTAATTACCGACTAGTTTTCGACGACCAGTTATCTTTTGAAGTGAGACCTATAAATTTCACGTAGATAATTCACGTGCCTGGCCTACTCAGTATGGCATACAGGGATCAAACGGTGCCACCAAAATTTCTGAATTTACCTCAATTGATGCTCCTCTGATCATTACAGTTCAGTCATTGTTCGGAACAGGACACTAACAAGGTATTCATGATCCCCGAGGTTTTTATTTGAACATGACTTATAACAGATCAAATACCCAAAACACAATTTGCGGCTCGAAATTAGTTTTATTTCCGCCCGTAAACATCTGATTGAGAATTGACCGGTTTCAGTCGCGCTCTCTCTCTCTCTCTCTTCCATGGTCACGTGGCGTTCAAACTATGCGTACCAAATATATTCAAAGTTGAGGCACACATTTAATATTAAAAATAGAAATATTAAAAATCTGAGGCACAGATTTAATATTAAAAATAGAAACGAATATGAACCCCATTTGTGTACCCTCCAAAAAACACCAAATACGTTGATCGAAAAAGAAAAAGACGAAATGTTGCACAGATCACAGGAAGTACATTTGCACGTCATTCTCAATATGGCGACGTACCACGGGCTGGACGACGCGATGGAGGTGCACAACGGACCAACGTTGCGACGGACGTGGGGCCACTACTTCGGAACTGTCGTTCCTGATACTGGACAATCTATCTTCAAGCGCAGATCATCGATCGGAAAGAATATAAGTCGTCGTCGTCTGCTTCGCACGCTGGAGAAGCGGACAAAAGAAAAAAACGCGGTCGGGTACAACGTTACTAAAACCAACTCAGTTGTGGAACTCCGCTCTCGAGGTGTTCCCTTTGCGTGGCGCCTGTCAGAGGGCGCGCGCTCCGCATTAATACTCGCTATCATCATCATTGACGGCACGGTTCTGGCCTTTGCCAGAACTAGGGATGCCGCGAACTTTTTTCGAATCGAAGTTTCGATGATCGAATCAAGCGGTTCGAGAGGTTCGAAAGATTTCGATTTTTCGAATTGTCTATATCGTGAAATTCGACGGAGGTCGAATTTTCGAACTTGTTAAGCTAAGAAGTTCGACGCTTTTCGAACCGTCGAACTTATTACGCTAAAAAATTCGATCTTTTTCGAACTTTCGAACTTATTGCGCTGCAAGTTTCGATGCTTGTCGAACTTTCGAACTTGACTGACCAAAAAATTCGATAAATTTCGAACTTTCGAACTTATTTATCAAGAGAATTCGAAAAGTTTCGAACTTTTGAATTCTGAAAAGTCAGAAGTTCGACGAACTTCGAACTTTTAGGGTAAAAGTTCGACGGTCGTCGAACTTCGAAACACCGGCGGACGGTTTCATTTGATTTCAAGTAGTGGGGTACATTCGTAATTTTTTTTCTCGAACTTTTTCACGCGGTGTTGCGTTCCTTACGAAAGACAATGTCGTTTATTTCAATTTTCTGGCATGCTTAGGTTTAAAGAAATAAATCCCCGAAGGGGCGAGGAAGGACGACGGGTTTTTGACGATTATCGTTTGTGCCAGATTTGAAGCACGCTGCAGCCGGAGCTATTTATGGTAGACATGTTATACTTTTTTAAGAATGATCTATGTATAGCTTAGGTAAGTGCCGTCTTAAGATGTGATTATTGTTATTCAACGTGAGTTTCGAAGAAATGTCCAAACATTTATCTGCATGCAATTTTGACCTAAACTTGATATTTATTTTCGTCTAAGTTGTTTGAGGTATCGCATTTAAATTAACACCACAGACAGTGCATATCATTGCCATCTGCAGAATACAAAATAATATATTTATTGTTTTTTCACGTTAAGAAATAAATTAACTCATGGGAGAAGATTTCTAATAGTGTTCAAGTTCAGCACGTCATTAAAAGAAAAAAAAAATTTTTTTTTCGCTTCACGTTCCTGGGACGTGTTTCTTTTAGCCTGTACACATCTTGGTAAAAGAAACTTGTTTCGAAGTTCTGAATCTCTGAATATGCAAGAATAGAACACTTCCGACGAATTCTTGATAGTTTTTTTTTTCTCCTGCTTTTTATTCCCGCATTTATTCTTTCTTTTTTTTTTTGTTTTTTTTTTTTTTTTTGTTACTATCGGCACAGGTATTTAGGTCGAAAAGACAGCTTTGAACTTCCGAACCACTAAGCATGTGACGAGTAGTGCCTTCCGACAACGAGTTTCTAACAATGACCATCTACGCAACCTTTTATGCAGTGAAGAGCGACAGTAGCTATACATATGCATAAATCATTTCAGATTAAAATAAGCTCGACCACGCCCTCTTTCCCCGTATTGTTTTCTTTAACAGTCCGAAATACCTGCAAGGTAGAGAAGGAGGCAGAAGCCCCCCCCCCCCCCCGCTACCCTCTTTCCCCCCGTTTTTCCTCTTCCGACGCCACTTGTATGGTAGAACCGGTAGAACGCCCCTCGACCCCAAGTTGTGTCGGTTTTCGTGCTTTTTGCGAGGCGATTCCTCCGTCCCAGAAAATAAACCTCCAGGACAATTATAAACTTCACCGGATCGGATTACTACCAGCGTGCAAGGGGTGGCGAGCAGGTTTGCCAGGTCGCTTCAAGGGTTTTCTGAGCCTCAACCTCATGCTCGCCCCTGGCCGTTTCGAACTGGATGAGTCTCGTAAAGCAGTGTGTTCGTGTAATCACAACTTCGTGATGCAGGTTAAACCCCCCCCCCCCCCCCCCCCCCGGGGCCGGCGGCCACAATTCTGCACTGGCTAATATTCTAGCACGTCCGGGACACTCGTCGTCTCATTTCATTGCCTGACCAACTTTGCAGAATCAAGATATCACACCCTAACTTTTCTAAACTTGATTTTGTGAAAACCAGTGAGTCGTGAAAACGTTATTTGAAACTGAAACTGTAGAAAAACTTGAAAATCGGACTTCGAACTTTGAAAAGTGGGATTAGAAAGAAATTCAAAATCTTCAAAGTTTTTTTTTTTTTTTTTTTTTTTAGTTTAGAGTATCGAAACTTTCGAACTTTTCGAACTTTATGCAGAAAGAAATTCGAAATCTTCGAATTGTTCGAACCTCATGTCTATAAAAATTCGAAGCGTTCGAAGTTTTCGAATTTTTTTCCCAAAGAATTTCGAAATCTTCGAATTTATCGAACCTGAAGGAAAACAATATTCGAAATATTCGAATTCGAAATTTTAGAAACCGTGAAAGCTTCGAAATTTTCGAAGTCGAAACTCTGCTTTGGATAAAAAATTCCGAATTTTTCGAATTCGAACCTCGGTCGGTACGAAAATCTCGAAATTTTTCGATATCGAACCTCAGTTCGCTTCGCAAATATCGAAACCTTTCGAAATCGAACCTAGGGTGGTTCGCGACATCCCTAGCCAGAACCGTGGCTTTCAGAGCTTACGGATGACAGCAGCAGACGAGTTTCAAATTGTTTCTGCTGCTGTTGGTAGTCACATATTCAAATCCGGCACTTTTTTTAGCCAATAAAACATTGAAACTGTGTTCCTGTTGACTCTGAACCCTATCTGAAAAGTCGCCTGCCATCGAAGCAAAATAATGATCGCACGCACGCGCGAACATTCCTTCGGTCGTCTGCAACCGTCGCGACGGGGGCGGCCGAGCGCATTTCACACCTCGGAAAAACAACGCAGAGAAGCTTATAGCAGTGCATGAGAGTTCACACATTGTTCGAAACTTGTGAAGTGACAATCTGTGAGTCTACAATCTTATCAGAATGTGCCGGTGGCGTGGTCTGCACCGGTGTGTCAATATCGTAAACGGTCGGTGCGAGGTACTCAGGCGAGACATTTCTTCAAACTTCCTTTGGACGAGAAACGACACGCCTTATGGGCGAGAAACTTCCCTTAGCGAGACCTGTCCCACAAGGACTTCCTCTGTGATTTGTACTTTAGGGAAAAGGAGATTCTGACGTGTTTCGAGCACGAGATTCGCGGAGAAGTCGTCCTATCGCCACGGGTTAAGTGGAGTCTGAAACCCGACGGCCATCCCAAGCGTATTTGCGACCTACCCGGAACATTCGCCGCGTTCGGAAAGGAAGCCTGAAAGGCGGGGGTCACCCGAGACTTCTCTGTGCGAAGATGTCCTGGATGTCCGACCAGCAATGGCATTGCCCTGGCAACACTGCACATCTACTACTACGGTAGAAACTCGCTTTTCATTGTAGTCACCGGATTGTGGTGGCGCCGACGAATTCTGGTTGTTTGAAACGCTTCACGCTGTCAGTACAGCTAAAGCAGCAGAATTTTACAAGAACGCAAAGCGTATGCCAGTTTGATGCAAGTTTCTTCAGAATTTATAACGTGAACCAGTCCTTTATCTAAGGTCCTGAATGAAACGCGGCTACCCAGATTTAAAATTATAAAAGAATGCGTAAAAACGGCCGAACCATCCCCATTTGACACCGCTTTTCTCAAAAATAACTCATTTTGAAGTATTTGCCATAATCTGCAGGACGTGCTTTAGGGTTTTCCTTTTAATTTTCCATCTTTAATTGAAAACTGAGTTGTCCTTAAGAAGTTTCCCGGCAATGCGCGTATGCTCATATTTCAAAAGATGGAAGAATGCTTAAAAAAGGCCGAACCATTCCTTCTTTGAAAGCAGTTTTCTCCAGAAAGGATTCATTTGAAGCGTTAGCCGTAATACCAGAATTTGCTCGAGGGCTCTATATTTTATATGCCGCTTTTAGCTGTGGACTAGATCGTCGTCAAAGCATTCCCTGGCGGAGCGCGGGAGCCCATAATACCAGGATGTTCTCAAG